AGTCAGATTATTTCTTTTATTGTACAGAGGGTACTTCAGGCCATGTCTCCACTTGCCATACCAGAGATCAATCCTTTGGCATTTAATTTAGCAGGTCTAGAAAAGACCCACTAAATCAAATGCTGAGAGCACATCTAGATACTCGTTGCAGTCTCAAGGAGTAAAGGAAGCAGATGGGAGCGCTTGTTTCCATTGGCTTCCCACAGTGAAGATGGCACCAACCTCAGCTTAAGGCAGGGGTGGACAACCTTTCTTGGATCAGGGTCTGCCAACCCCCAGGCCAGTAGATTTTATGTGCTCCAGCCCCACGGCGGGATAGCAGGGGGCTGGAGCACCAGCGCAGGCTCCCCAATGCTGGTGGGGGGAGCACCGAGTCTCAGGGGCTGGATCTAGGCAAGCTGGGAGCCGCAGGTTCCCTATCCCTGGCTTAAGGTATGTTGACTCCAGCTAAGTTATTTACATACTTAATGTAAAACAGAAGGAGTAACAGAAAGAAAAGACTTGTATCAGTGACAAGTCACTACCTTTTTTTTAAAGCCTTGTTCTAGATGTTAAATTTGGATGCTTATCTCTCTCAGTCTGAACAGGTTCCAGCCTGGCTAATGTTTGGTAAGAGAACAGGATACTGCTGGAAACAATGTAAGTGACTGAATAGGTAGCACTTTTCTCTTTGAGTCAATATTGAAAAAATGTATCGGCGTTTGCTTTGTGATCCTTTGGGATGAAAGCCATTGCACAGAAGAAGTTATTGAAGACATATCCTCATAGTCAGTCAAACAAACAAAGCCACAACTTCTGCCCAAACATGCCATTGTTAGAATACCTCAGACTACTAGAACCCGAAGAGACGTGTTTACTCTAAGAGCACTTTCTTGTTAGTCTGTTTCCCATGTTGTTTGTGTGACATTTTCCATATAACATCAGGGAGAGAAAAACAGTTTCTTGTGGTTGAAAATCCCCTCCAAAATTAGGAGGGGTACCCAGGGACAAGGGTAATACTTGAAATGGCTTTTGATTCCTTTTAAAAAATGTTTTAAAATCAAATTGACTGTGTCCCTTTAATTATCACTACAGAATTCACTAGCATTAGTTGAAAATGCTATTCATAGCATAAAAGCCTGGCACTTTTTGCCAACAATCTCACCTGAGGCATCCAGAATATCTTCTGAGTCCTCAAGAAATGGTAGCATGCAGTGAAACGCTCGTAGCCTCCTTTCAGGATGAGGACTGGGTGGCGGGTAAACTGCTCTAAGACTCTGGCGCACTGGGTGGCAGCCCCTTCCTCAGCATCTAAAAACACAGAAAAGCTACAACACATGGCTGTTATAGGGAACTGCATGGGATATGGATTATTTCCAACAGGCCCTGAGTTGTTGGGGTAAAACCCTGATCCTACCGACATCAGTGGCAAAACTCCCTTTGGCTTCAGTGGAGATAGGATTCCACTCCTGGTATCTGAAGGACCTTCAGAGACAGGGTCAAAAGCTACAGTCACTAATAGCTCCACAATAACTCCTGTTATTCTCTCTGGATTCCCAGCAGTGAGGTAAACTACAGGGAAGAACTGCTATTTTAACCAGCCCTGATTATAGGGGTGGCCTTTTCTTTGGTTCATTAAGCCACTAAAGAGAAGGCAAAGGAGACACAGGAAGGTGCCTTGGGAAATTTTCACATTGTTGATCTAACATGACCCCAAATGGGGTTAATAATGTTTTTCTCCCAGACTCATCTCTGATTAGCTTCAGCTTTACCTACTTTAGAAGCAGCTAAATTAGCACAATGGAAATCTGATTCTGGTCCTCCAGTACATTCCATTTTCATGTCGCACCGAAGAGGATTTTTCTCTTCAATAAAACTCTGAAATAAGGCCCCATTTTAGCTTGTACCTAACGAGACTGTTCCTGTGAGCCAGTTATGCATGTACATAATTGTTTGTAGGGTTAGCTCCTAGATTTGTCACAGGAGTCTCCAGTAAGACCATTTGAATTCAAGTTATATGTTTGGAACAATGTACCACAGATACAGAAGAAAAGTCAGATGTAAAGATCAAGACTTTACATTTCCAACTGCCTAACAATTTAGTGTGTCAAATTTTGGGTGCCCAAGTTGAGACACCATAAAGAGATCTGAATTTCAGAATGCACCAGGCACCCAGTCTCTCAAAAATCAGGTGTCTCTAAGGAAACTCAAGTTGAAGCACTCTAAATTGTTAGTCACTTTTGAAAACCTAGGCCAAAGGATTTTCCTGTACAAAATGGGAATCTAAGTCTCTGATTGCATAGTGAGCTTTGAGCAGACAGGCCATTGCAAAATCGAGACCCAAAGCTCTGACTGGATCATATATCACAGACAAGGTACATGTTTCTTCACTTCTTAGGTCAGGTCTACATTAGGATATTAGGCTGATATAAGTATGTCACTCAGCAATACAGTTAAACCAACCTTAACCCAAGTATGCACAGACCTCAGTCAATAGCAGAATTCTCCCATCAACCTAGCTACTGCACCTCTAAAAGGGTGCATCTAGATAGCACCCTTCTGTTGAAATAAGCTATACAATTTGCGCAATGCAAATTGTGTAGCTTATTCCGAGTTTAAATAAGAAGAGCTTATTTTGAAATTTGGCACTATCTATACAGTGCCAGATTTCAAAATAAGGCACTATTCTGACAAATCCCTTAACCCTCATGGAACAAGGGCTACAGGGACACTGGAATAGCACACCCACTACTTCAGGAAATAGTGGGCGCTTTTAAAGACGCAACACAGTCTACATACCCCATGGTGGATAAACTGCAGCAACAGGAGAATCTGTCCTATTGCGTGGGTAGCATCTTCACTGAAGCATGAGAGAGGTGTTACTGCAGCTGTGCCCATGTTGGTTTATGCGTAGACAAGCCCTTTGTTAGGTCTTATCTACCAATAGCTGGATTTTAAGAGTTTACAAAGCATTTTTAACAAGCTAGCAGTAAACATTTCAACGTTCTTACCTTCATCAGTTTCAAACTAATGCCTGAAACAAGCTGAAATATGCTGAAAGTGGATCAAATATACTTAAAAAAATCTATAGTTTGCAAAATACTGCTGTGCTAACTAGACCAGTTATTTTCACTTTGCAACACTGGTTAATGGAGAAGTGGCAGATCTAGAAACAAAGCCTGTGATTCTGCAGTAAGCTCCGAGGTCACTGCAAGTTCACAGTCTAAAAGGCAATCTGAAGTTTGGGAAAATACTACTTTAATGTTTTCCGGTATCTTTAAATTAACTCAACAGATTCACAAAGATATCAGTGGCATGATCTGCATTTTATTCTATGGGTTTTCCATAGAACTTCTTCTAATTATTACTCTCATTAAAGTCCTATTTTTATTACTGTAATAATGCAAAGCCTTTTCAAAATCCTGAGCTTACTAATAAAATGAAAGAACTCACTTTGTGAACATGAAGAACTGGATTCAGATCCTGAGATCACTGAGACAGGTTTTGTCCCTAAAATGCAGTAAATAAACACACTCAACCCCAGCTGCACTGGGGAAAATAGCATATTTTCCTCTTAAATGGCTTTAAAAGTGAATGGTTCACAGATTGGAAAATAAGACAGCCGAGATGAGGGACCAGAAAAAGCTGGATTTATGAACCCCAGAATAAAACATGTGAAATATGACAAACAGAGGCTTATTGATAGCATAGTGTGGATAGCTGGAGTGTGTCAAGTTATTTGAAATAGAAAAGTTGATAAAGGTAAGTGAGAAATGAGAGGCATTCACATACCAAGATGATGGGCTTGACAGAAGAGAACAGAATACAGCTGAACTTTGAGTTGTAGCAAGAATCTTTCTCGCTGCTAGAAAACATACCTTTTACATCCTCCACAGAACCATCATAATAGGGATCATCCAAAGAGCTGGTTTTGCCATCATACACGACACAATATTTGACACACTCCAGCTCAACTGATTGAGGTACCAGGTATTCCCCCATAGGATTCTAGCAGAGCCACAAAAGAATCTTATTAAGGGGGAACTGCATTTTTTCCTCATGGAACTATCCCTACAATTTCTCCTAGTTCACCACTGTACCGTATGTTAAAGAAACTAGGGGAAATTCTGAAGTGATGTAAATTACATGTCAGCAAGTGCGTCTGGGTCTATGGCTCAGCTAGGATGGTATATACCATATACGCTAAGAAACTGCCAGAAGGTATATGTTATCCCAACTTAGTCCTGGTTTACTGTTGTCCTTCTCCTTGAGTAGTCATTTACACCAGTGTAAAGTGAGAATAAGCACTTCAGAATGGTAGTGATTTACATCCAGACTGCACAGGTGTAAATGCAATGCAGTGGGGAGTACGGCCTCCTCAGGGTCATCCTTTTGTTTCATCCTATCTTTTGAGCATCAGCTTTCCCCCCTAGATCTCTTAATGGTTTTTTCCTTAAGCTCTCAGCCTGTAGCCCTGCAGTGTTTATTTATCATTGTATTGGTCACCTCACAACTATTTTTGTTCCTGTTTTCTTGAAACCTTCACCTGTAATTCTTATCAAATGTAGTGATGTTTACTGGTGAAGGAACTTAGGTTGAGATTTACAAGGGGGTTACACACACAGTTTCCTTTGATGGGACTTGTGGACCTAACTCCCTTTGGTGAGACCCAGAAGTCAGGAATGGAAAAGACCTAGGAGGTCATTTTGTTGGCCTACCTGACTATCCAGTAGATTTTCTCAATGCTCTGCCCTGTCTAATGTTAAACATCTCAAGCAATGGGGGTTTCACCATCACCCTTTGTGAGACAACTTTGCACTGTACTAGCTCTTCTTGCTACAATATTCTTCTTTGCTATTCAACCTAAATGTCTCTCCTCTTTAGCCTACTATCATCTCACTTCCCCTCTTTTCTACCCCAAACTGCATCATCTCTTGTGGAACGAATGAAACATTCCAGAATCAGGCAGGAGAGAGACTGGAGCTGTTCCGCATCTTTTTAAGCCAAGTCTATCTCACTGCTACATGCTAAATCCTAGAATCATCAATATTTGCTACTCATTCATGATCCAGAGCATTTACTCTCCTGGAACACGGGGATACAAAGTGTTCTGTTCCCATGACAGCAGAAGCATGGGTGGTGTTAGCTTTTCTATTTTCTGGAGAAGGGGCAGCTTTAGCTTCCTGTCAGTTCCCTGGAGGTCTTGTTGGTGACACTGACCTGGTGACATGCTTATTAGTGAACCCCTCTCCACCAGCCAGAACAGAAGGTCATGAAAGACAGCACACATGAATGATAAGCCTTGAAACCACAACTTACCAGCTTAACCCTTCTTGCTGTAATCACATGGCTTTCATTGTACTCACGCTTTGTACGGGCATCTGGAAATAACAATGAAGGTAGTGTGAATGGCTTAGTACTTCAAGGCAGAATCCTGCTCTGAATGAAGCAAATGGGTGAGCAAGGTCCACTGGACAAGGCCCTTTCCCTGCAAAGAGCTTTACAAATCTTACAACTAGATACCCACCACCAAAATACAGATTGTATACATTTCTCCATGGGATTCCATGTTTATTGTGCCTATTGACTTTCAGATTAAATATCTCACTTTGCAAGAAAAACAGTATTTTTTTCAACCAGCTCTTTCTCCCATAATTCCATTCCTCTGTTGCACTAACACAGATAATAGTTACAATGCATTTTGTTATTACATGAAATAGATATGACTGACTGCACCCAGGCGCCATATTTACATCACCACTTTTAAATTATGGCATCATTAAATCAGCCTATGAAAAATTCTTAGCTGAATTAGGAGTTCTTATCATGAAATAATATAATTCTTGTTACCATTTATTTAGTGTTTCATATGTTCAAAGCATTATACAAACATTAACTAATTATCCCTCCCAGCAACCCTGTGAGGAACGCAGCATTAGCAGGTGAAATTCATCTCAGGTGTAATTGAGTGCTCTTACATCAGGGATGAACTTGGCCCATTATCTGCATTTGCCTGTTGGTGAAACAAGTACTGGCGGCCAATTCAGAGTTAATATAAACCGTGCGCAAGTTACACACTGATAAAGTGACTTAAGACACTGTAATGTACATGTTGATGGGGTGGGACTGGAGAGTGGTATGTCAGATAAGGCAAATAATACAAACTGGTAACAGAAAGAAGATGTCTGCTTTATCTTTTCATATATTTTCCTAAACTTTCAGAGGTAGCTGAGTTAGTCTGTAACTGAAAAAAAACTTCTGTAACTGAAAAAAAACTTCTTCAGATGTAGTATGCCCACAAAAGCTCATGATACCAACTACATGTTTTGTTAGTCTTTAAGGTGCTACTAGATTATTTGTTTTTTAAGTTTTTCCTAGATTTTCCTGTTAGTTGTTTTTTCTGCTATATCCCTCTCTTCTACTCCCACATGAAATAAATTACATCTAGTTATAAGCATGCACTGAACACTTTAATTTACACCATTTCTAAATTAGGACAGCAGCAGAGGACACAATGGATTCCTGGATTCCAGTCACATGCTCAGTTCTCAAGACCATGTTGCCTCTTCTAAGGCTAAGCCTGCAATGTAAATATAGGTGCACTTATTACATTAAGATACCTATTGTGAGAAAGCCACCTCAATGTGAAATCCTAGCAGAAACAGGTCAACTCCTGTGCCTTGTGTCCACCAGGTTTTTACACTAAGGTGCAAAGCACATCTTTATTTGCAGTGAAAACATGGCCTGTGTGATGGCGCATCGGGGAGCCCCCTGACCCTGCACCCCCGTCCGCAGCAAGATGTGACTCTGCCAGCCAGTAGAATAGAGAGGGTTTATTGCTGTTCCGAGATACAGCACAGCATAGGACCGATGCAGGCATAAGAGGATAGGCCAACAGTCCTAGTTCCCTTAGGGGAAGGGTTTACAGGTCCCTGAACCCCCACCCCCTACACTGGTTAGACTGCTTCCTCCATGCTTCCCCACACTCTCACTGCCCCCTCCCCAAGCCACACCCTTCCTTTGTTCAAACCCTTCCCTGGTCAGATGAAAACCGGTTGGGCCGTTGTCTACGTGACATGAAGGCCCTCAGGGGCAACCTGCCGCTGGGCAGTGCTTACAGACAGAGGCCAGTAGGGGTCATCCACAGCCCACAGCCAGTGAACGCCCAACCACAGTGGGCCTTCCTAGGGCCACTAGAGTAGACAGTCCTTCAACTACATCACAGCCTTTGAGAAATAGGTCTCCCAAATTCCAATAAAAGAAGATACAGCTTCAAAGTAGAGTACTAACTACTATACATAAAATCACACTGACCCACAAATTCTTTTCAGCCAGTGGTCCCCAACCGTTTGGGGTTGCCGGGTGCCAGGGGGCGTGGCTGTTCGCCCGCCGGGCGCCCGGGCCCCCCCATAGCCGCATACCAGGGCCCCCTCCCATAGCGCCCGGGGCCAGCTCCAGCACCGCGCATGCGCCAGGTGCCTGGGGCCAAGCCAGCTCGGGCCTGGCACCGAGAAATGCGCCCGCGGGCACCATGTTGGGGACCACGGATTTAGACAAACACTGCACTGAATTGCGCCCGGGGCCGGCGCTGGCGCTCTCTCCCCCCCTCCCCCAAGCGCTGAGCGCCCGGGGCCAGTGCTCTCTCCCCCAAGCACGGTTCTAAGCATTATACAATCACATGCATGCTAATACTTCAAGCAGCACTGAGGACTCTGTTGTCCCCTAAACCTTGTACAATCATTTACACAAGTGCAAAGGGAGTGTAATTCAACTCCCAGGTAATAGGCATCTTTTCAATGACATTTATGGCAGTTAGGTCACTCCTATAGCATGTTTACAGTTTCATGACAGTCTAACCCCAATAATTAAACAATAAATCACATTTGTGCCAAAGTGCACATTAAAAATACATATCAACACTCTTGTTAGCTTACCCAGTAAACAGAGATAGTTAGGTTCAGTTAACCTGGAGAGCTTGGTGGACTGATTCAATATGTTGTAAAGTTCTGTAGGCTCACACAGAACCAACCCTGCCATTTTACTGTATGGAAAAAATAATTAAAGAGTCAGTACATTCTTAAAAATTGAGTTATTGCAAAGTAACCTAGGTAGCCACTCCTCTGTGAATGAAAACAACTGCTTTGAGCCCAAGCTTGAGTCCTTAAATCCTTACCTTCATGTCGAATATTTGCTCCATGAGAACTATAAGATCAGGTGTTTAAAAAATACACCGGTCAGAATTCTAGACCTGTGCACATCATTCAGATCTGAAATGAACAAGGAGAGATCCTATTCCCTAAAATCAGGACTTACATTTCTAAACATTGTTTTCTTGAGGTGGGGGTGTGAAATTCATGTTCAGTATTTCTAAATTTAGGGATTGGGTTGAGTGGAGTTGAGGCTAAATTCACTGGAAGAAACACAAGCTTGGCATTCCAGAGGACTGGGGACATGGTTATTAACAATTTATTTCATAATAACCTAGAAACATGTGTTTCCCAAGTATCTGTGTTATTAGGAACCCGGATAGGTACCCCATCTATCAGCAATGGGAAACTGAAATGCCTGAGATCCAAACTCTGACCAGATCCAAACTTCCACATCCTCGAACCTCTTAGAGTTCCTCTCTACATTTTGTAAAAAAACCCAAAAACAAACACCCCCAAAACAGAGAGACCCCAAATGTCAATTAATACAAAATAAATCAATAGGACCCCAGCTGCAAGTGATCCAGACCAAGGGTGGGGATCCCAAACCTCACATTAAATGTCACCTTTGCCGCCTGCACAGGTTCTCCTACTCTCCATGGAGTTTGCAGCCATGGTACCCAAGGTGTCCTTTACCATGGCACCTGTACACCTGTGGAATTGTGGGTGTCATGGAAACCTGTTACCATGACAGCTGCAGCATCCATTGCCATGGCACCTATGACGATACCTGTAGAATCTGTTGCCATGACACCCACAGAGCTGTTACCATGGCACCTGAAGCATCAGTTGCCATGGCATTTAGGACCCCCGTGGAAGCTGTGCCCTGCGGTTCACGTTATGGCTACCCCCAGCTCAGAAAGGGTCCTTCAACATCCCGGGCCCGCTCCCATCCCCCGCTCACCTCCTGGTTGCTACTCAGTGACGCTCGGCCGTAACCAAGGCTGACGTCCTTTGGGACCGCCCCTTGCCCAGCTCTCGCGATCCTTTGGCGGGCTGGGATCCGCCGCCTGAGCATTGAGCGGGGCCGCGTGGCGGGAGGGGCGTTGAAGTCTCGCGGTGCTTGGGGGCGGAGCTCTCGCGGAGCTTGAAGGAGCGCTCGGGACCCGCGGCGGTCTCGCGGTGCCTGGGCTGGAGGTCGTTGGAGTCACTGTCGCGCGCCAGTCATGCTGCTTTCCCGCCTCAGCGGCCCCGCCGCCGCGCTCCGCAGGGGCATCGCCACCTCAGCGCAGGTACCGGCCGGGCCCGCGCCGCGCTGTGTGCCCCGGCGCGGGCTGGAGAGCGGGGCCTGCGCGCTACGGCCCGCGGGGGGTGGCGGCTGGAGCCTGGCGCCGCCGGCCCCCATGGCAGCCGGGCGGGCTGCGTTGCGCGCTGCTCATCCCTGCCCCCCACGCTATCTGGGGGGGTTTCCACTTGGTCAGACCCCCTGCGGCGCCCCCACCCTCCGGCACGCAGCCTTTGCCGGGGGCACCCCCGCGGGCCAGGCAGCCCTTCGGAGCATTGGAGGCCCCTGCCCCGCCCCTGCAGCTGGGGGCAGCTAAGGGATGGGCCTTGCCAAGGTCACAGGGCGCCTCCCAGCCCTGCCCGCCGGCCCCACCTCCGCCGCCTTCAGGCCTCCAAGCTTGTCCCCTGTCTCCTGGCAGCCTTGCCATCGCGTCCCCTTCCTGGCTGCCCTTCCTCCCCGGCTTCCTGCGCTTGTTGCTGGTCTCCCGTTCTCATCACACGCCTGAGGCACCCCCAGTGCGTGTCCCCCCCAGCCTGCCCCTGTGGGGTCATTCAGATGTGCGCTAATGGAGTTCCACGCCTCAATCGAGTGAGGCCTCACGTGTGTAGACTGTTAGGCTGTGTCTAGACTGCAGGGTTTTTTTGAAAAAAGTAGCCTTTTTTTCTAAAAAAAACTTCACCTGCGTCTAGACTGCAGCCGTGTTCTTTCGAAATTAAATCAAAAGAACGCGGCTTTTCTTTCGACGGTGGTACTCCTCATTTCATGAGGAAGAACGCCTTTTTTTCGAAAGTGCTCTTTTGAAAAAAGGCATGCTTGAATGCCAACAGAGCTTTTTCGAAAGAGAACATCCAGACTGCCTGGGTGCTCTCTTTCGAAAAAGCAGCTTGCTTTTAAGAAAGTACTGCTTGCAGTCTAGATGCTCTTTTTCTAAAGTATCTTTCGAAAAAGCCTCTTTTGAAAGAGGCTTGCAGTCTAGACGTAGCCTTAGGGTGTTACACTCGGCTTGTTAAATTTAACGATTACGTTTTGATAAGTATTAACGCGAGAGAAAAGGTGGATGACGTAAAACCTTTTATTGGATTAACCGTGGGCTAGTAATTCTCTGTGGAGCTTGAAAGCTGTCCTCCTTCACCACAGAAGCTCCTCCAATAAAAGATACTACCTCACTCACATTAGCACTCTTTTATGTTCTGGAATCAGCCTGGCTAAAACAACATTGCAGCTAAGTACTAATTTATTTAAATTGGCACTAGTGTTACATAGTTACTACAAACAACAGAACTGGTTAGAAGTGGGTCGGAAATATTGCAGTACTTAATCAAAGGGGTAGCTGGGTTAATCTGAATCTTCAAGAACAACGAGAAGTCCTGTGGAACCTTATAGACCAACAGATTTATTGGCGCATAAGCGTTCGTGGGCAAAGACCCACTTTGTCAGATGCATGTATCTGATGAAGTAGGTCTTTGCCCACAAAAGCTTATGCTCCAGTAAAAATCTGTTGGTCTATAAGGTGCCACAGGACTTCTCGTTCTTGCAATACTTGAGTTAAAGATGGGACATGTTGGGCATCTTTAGGTGTCTAATGTAGAAATTGGTGGTATTAATCTTGTGGCACTGGGCCGCAAAAATAGATGTGCCATTTTGTATCTCCATCCCTTTGGCTATTGACTTCTGATAAGGACAGAAGTTGACACTCATTGGTCAGGTGTAACTAGTAATCAACAGATGTGGTAACTGAATCTAGACATTTAATGGAGCTGTATGGTAGATTGGTTTCAGTTACTTTGGTCTTTTCCTGGACATCACTTCTAAAATTGATGTCTTCTGTATAGTTCAAATTTTTTCTTTCAAACAATAGTGCTAAGCATGCTCATTCAAGAAATCAGTTTTTATGCTAATCCATGCAGTTTGATTGCTGATTACGAGCATACCTATGTGTGTTCATGTACTGATGATCTATTGCTGTCAGATGGCAGTTGACATGGCAGGGGGGAGGAGGAGGAAAGGGTAGGTATAAATGGCCTGTTTTCAGCATGAAGAGAGGTAAATAGTGATGTCCTGCTGGGGTCTGTTCTGGGACCAGTCCTTTTCAACATATTCATAAATGATTTGGAAAAAGGGATAAACAGTGTGGTAGCAAAATTTGCAGGTGCAAACCTATTGAAGATATTTAAGTCCCAAGCTGACTGGGTAACAGAATGGCAAATTAAATTTAAATATTGATAAATGCAAAGTAATGCACATTAGAAAACATAATCCCAACTATATGTATAAAATGATGTGGTATAAATTAGCTTTTACCACTCAAGAAAGAGAATGTGGGATTATTATGGATAGTTCTCTGAAAACAGCTGCTTGGTGTGCAGGGTCAGTCCAAAGTGAACAGGATGTTAAGCATCATTAAGAAAGAGATAAGACAAATATTACGTTGCCTTTATATGAATCCACGCATCACCCAGCTCTTGACTGCTGCATGCAGGTGTAGTCGCCCTATCTCAAAAATGTTTTAGAATTTGGAAAATTTAGAAAAGGGCAACAAAAATGATGAGGGGTACGGAACAGCTTTCCCATGAGATTAATAAGAGTGTGACTTCCAATTTGGCAAAGATGACTAAGTGGGGAATGTGCTTGAGATTAGGGATGTTAACATGTAGCTGTTTACATGATTAAGTGATAAACCTGGATTAGGTTAATCCTAACAATTGTCCTCCCTGCTACCTCTGTATCAGAGGCAGTGGGGGGAATGAGAGTTGTTGCCTGTGTGGAGCCAGCTCCCATGGAGCTGCTTGCTCCACCTCCCTTCCCTGTTGCATACCGCAGAAGCATGTGGGGGCAGGCAGGAGCTGGTGCATGGGGAAAGCCAGCTTGAAAGTGGTGATGCAGTTCAAGGTACAACTCATCAATTGTTAATGCAATAACTGAGATAAAATAGAACTCTTTGAAAATGAGATGCAAACTTGTGTGATGGAGGCTTGAAAACCACCTGAGTAACTATTACAAACATCTATGTCCCTCTTTCTTTTTCTCTTCAGAGCAATGCTAAAGTGGCAGTGCTTGGTGCTTCTGGAGGGATTGGCCAGCCTCTTTTCCTTGAGCCATCTCAGCCTATATGATATTGCTCACACCCTTGGTGTTGCAGCTGACCTTAGCCACATTGAGACAAGAGCCAATGTCAAAGGTATTGTAAGTTATAAATTATGAGGCATGTTACTGTGCACACAAGTCCAAGATTGAAAGGATTCTTAGGCATGTTCTGTGTTGAGTACCCATGCATATTACTATATGCAGCGGGGCACTACTTGTCCTTTATAAATAAATGTGTTGTCAACTTGAAATTAAAACTGGAAATGGCTTATTTACCCAAATAACTTCAGAACAAGATGTAGTTAAATAGATTCAACTGAGATGGTTAGAACATATTTGATTATCTTTTCATATATATTTTTTAAAGTTCTGATCGATGTGAAAGCAAAAGTCTGTGGTCAGACTTCTCACTTTTTACGGAATTTATTCTGGTAGCCAGTGTGAGCTATCAGCTATATTTTCTTTCTTTAGCTTTTTTCTACAAAGTTCAGAATATCAGTTACCGCTGTAGCTCTTTGAAATCGCCTGCATAAATTCATGCTTGCAGAATGCATTTCTCAAGCATGTGGCTTGGTATAGGCAATTTTCAAAGAAAAAATCTTGCTAAGCTTTCACTTCACTCTTCTGGTTTCCATTTCTGTTTATAGGGTCTATTGTTATCCAAGGAGAAAGCTTTGCTTGATAGATATAGGGATTTGTTTTAATTTGTGTAATACAATTACAAGCATTTCTTCTGAGGACAGATGTACTTGCATACTAGATTGGGTCCCTCTGGTAACATTCAGCCCTTCTCATTTGGAAGGATGAAATTAATAATTGAGTTGGGGAAGGCTACATTAAAAATTAACACTGGTATCCTTAAACGTACAGTTTCATATGCTAATTTTGATTTGGACAGTTTTAATCTTTCCCTGGAATTGTGAAATGCATAATTACCTGGATTTTCCTTTACAGGGTTCATTGGATCTGACCAGTTATCAGA